GAGAACAGGAAAATCAATCCGAACTATAATTATTATTATATTAGCGTGTCTGTATTGTATCATCACACATCATAAGAAAATACACAAATATCTGTATGAATCGCTGAAGAAGAACCTGTGAGTTCCAAAACATACGACACTTTAGTATTTTACTTTATATTCTCATTTTATTATAAAATTTAAGAACAATATTAAATCCATTTAATTTGATACAGACCGTCAATTTATTTTCAAATTTTATTAATTTCTACAAAAATGTAATTAACAGAAAAATACACACACACGCGCGCGCGCACGAACAATATGTTTGTCACTGTCAAAAAGAAATGTATAATATATAATAATGCACAATAATATAATATGAAAAAAAAAGTATAATAATATTTCTAGACTTTGCCTTTCAATTTTTTTACCTGTCTTCCCTCATATCTGTACACGATATTTGTATCTGCATGTATTTATTTTTATTTAAATGTTAGAAACATAATGCAAATCAAAAGAAAATCAAAGATATTGCAATAAACTAATTGATAAATTGAGTTAGAGCATTTGTGAAAATAAAAAACTACTAACTGTAAAAAGTTAATACACATTTTAGTTAAATCTTTTAATTAAATCTTTCTATATATATATATTAGATTTTACAAAAAGAAAAATGGTATTTATTCAGGATTAGCAAGTAATCGTTATTTGTAACGTCGTTACTGTTACAAGTTACTTTTTTTAGTAACGAATAGGTAACGACATTACATTTTCTTCGGAATAACGTTCATGGTAACGCAGTTACATTTTTGAGATAATGGTAACAATTTCACTAGTTACTTTTATCGTTACTTTATCATATTTCTAGCGAGTATATATCAATTGCAAACGAGCCAGTTGCGCACTCACAACGTTAGAAAAAAAAATTTTTTTTAATTTCTTACGCAAAAGTTGCTGTGATAGGCAGTGGGCAATAGCTACAGTGTGCAAGTGAACCGCTCCCATTTCTAGCCACTTTCTAGTAAAAATTTAAGTCGTAACTAGAGCTATAGAAAACAGAGATGCGACGTTAAAGGAATAGATCTAAATAGCTGCATTCAGCAAAAAAAGTAGTTTTGTAACTGTTGTAAAATTCTTGAATATGATTGGCTTATACATTTAGATCTAATAAGGAAGTAGAGGCAAGACCAATTATATAAAAGAATTTTACAATAGTTGCAAAGCTGCTTTCTTTGCTGAACGTAACCATCGATCGCGTTCAGCAGACTCAACAGTTTTACAACTATTTTATTATGATTCTTCGTTGAGATAGAACTATTTCTTTAGATCTAAGGGCCTTAGCAGAAAGATGACTTATAATCTTAAGACAGTGTTTTATGATTTAAGTCTCATGACTTTAGTAACGCACAAGAACTGTTTTATATCTCAATACTTAACCAGTTGCGATATAAGACAGTTGAAATATAAGACAGTCCTTGTGCGTTACTAAAATAATGAGACTTAAGTCATAAAACACTGTCTTAAGATTATAAGTCACATTTTTCTGCTAAGGGCCTAAAAGTATAATCCAATCAGAATGACGAATCATAAAACGGTTGCAAAACTGTTGAGTCTGCTGAACGCAGTCATTGGCTCCCTTATTCCTTCAAATTGGTTCAAAACTTTTAAACTCCGATCAAAGACATTTTGCGTTTAACCAATTTTTTAGAAGTTGAAATCGATTGAACGGCGTTCATCATGAATGGTCATTTTTGGCCAGTTAACGAGTTTGAACGTCGTTTAAGCAGAAGCTAACACGAAAAGTCTATATTTTATGGTTGTGTGCAGTGTCTTCTTGATATATATTAATTATATTATATATGTACAAAAAACGAGTATTATGGAATATTACAATATTTTATCATCCGACGATAACACAGTTGAACGCAGTTCACAAGAACTTTGAATTGAACCACTTTAGAGGAAACGAGCATTAATCACGACGCCTTTTTTCACATTGGTCTCGTTCAGCGGACTCAACAGTGAGTGAGCGCTCGCTATTATTGGTGTATTCTTTTAGATCATCTAATCAGAATTTTTAATCTAGAAGAATGCACCAATAATAGCGAGCGCTCACTTAACTGTTGAGTCCGCTGAACGCGCTGTATTCACAGTTCACACTTATAGGCTAACATATATAGCATGTAGACTTACCAGCGAAAGTGAGATCACGTGAGATTCTACTCTAATAAATATGAATATATATAATATTATATATTGTACATATACTTTATAATTAATAATTATATATACCTATATACATATACATATATATACACATTTTTTTAGTTCTATTCCTCTACTAAAAAATAGATTTTTGATGTTTTTTACATTTATCAAAAAAATCTGCACATAATATTATATTAGTGTCAAGAAAAAAGTAACGATTTGTTATATTTTTCTGGGATAAACGGTATTGCAAAAAAACTCCCTATTTTTTAAGAAAAAGAATGGTAACGGTAACAAATTATTTTTATGAGGTAACGTTGTCAACCCTAAAAAAAAATATGAGGTAACGTTGTCAACCCTAAAGCTAATAATTATTTTTTTCGATAAAATCTAATATTTATTCGAATTTTATTAATACCGTGTTATATACAATTCTGGTGGCGTCGAGTGGCTCACCGCTCGGTGCGATTGACTCGCGATATGTAGACCCGAGTTCAATGGACCAAACGCGATTTTTCGCGTTTAATGAGCCAAAAAATGGCTCCACCTGGTGATCAAAAGATCTATGATCATCAGCGCCGTTCGGATTCGGCATTAAACTGTAGGTCCTATACATCAGTATACATATTAGTTATAGATATTTGTCTCTATATCTGACTGAGGTAGGATTCTGTGGATCAATCACCCACAAATCCGAAAAACAATCTGATTCGAGAAACGAATGTAGGCCTCGGACAAAAGAGGAAGAGGCCTATAGACGTCCTATGCTCCACATAAGGAGATAAAAGGAGTCGTATCGTATATACAATTCTACTTAATATTAAATGTAATAATAGAAAACACAATATTGAATTGTTTACCTAATTTATTACTCTTTGGTCTATTTAATAATCTAAAATAACAACTTACATTTTTTTATTGCTCAACATTGTAAGTGAAAGAAAAAAATGTTCATTGGGGATTTATTACAAATTGGATTTATTACAATTATTAAATACAACAGTAACACATATCGATAAAAATAGTTTATATTTTTTAAGTGCTTTAATTTTCTAATATGGCAAAGAATTAAATATGTACAAAACTTATTAAAAGATGAAATATGATTACAGATAATACATACGTATTGTCTTATATGTACAACTTAGAAAGAATGTGTACTTTTATATTGAGAATAACTAATAAGTCTACAAAAATAAAATGTACATCAATATGTCACATCTTTAATAAAAGTAAAAAGTATTAAAATTTTTGTAGATAATAAAAGTATTGTAACTAGGATGATCAGATGTTACATGCAAGTAAGATATCCACAATGGAAAAGTAGTACAAAAGTAGTATACCTGCAGTCACGTGCCAGCTTCTTCACAAAAACCGACGAACATACAACCAAAAAAATTGCAAACGCGGAAAATAAAAAAAAAGACAGGCATTTAGATCGGAGACTTGTATTAAGTAACTTATTTATGCCGTGCGAACAAAATATAGCGTTCATAATCTTCATATCGTTTACAAAAAAAAAAAAAAAAAACAGCTTTATGTTACGGCACATAATAACTTTCTTATATTTTTTCATATATTTTCTCAAGTCCCAAAAGTAATACAAAAAAAAGGAGTATGCATGATCATTTTAATTGTATCTAATGATACTCTTTATGACAAGTGTATATAATATGTAACAGAAAAATAAAAATATTATCCACGGTAGTATGATAGATATAATAAAATATATATACAATAAAATACTACTACTTATTTATATTATTCAATCAACATTTTAGAGTGAAAAATATAAATTTCAACTTTCTTTCAATTAAATACGGACTTTTACAGGTAACTTATGGATTATATTTTGAAACATTTTCTAATAATCACAAAATCTTAAATTCTTAATTGTTAATCTAAATTATTACTATTTTATAGAAATACAGCAAACAATGCATATAATTATAGTACAAGATAAAGTATTTCATAAATCAACATTTATTAATTCAGTTAATATTAGTGAGTATTAAAAAATTGTTAATCTAGTACGGGAGTTGTATGTGGTCGCATACTGGATTATATAATTTTATAAAGACATAAAAATATTTAAAAACATATACCTATAAATTTCAGAAACAGATTTCTTTTTCTCAAATACGTACATATTTTGTTATGTACACTTAATATAAATAAAAAACTCAATTAACACAACAAAAAAGTACACGTTTCCAACGACATCGTTTATGATTAGTATTTCTTCTTAAATCTGAATTGTACGTGCTAATGTCCGAAATAGTTTCACTTAATAAAGAACCATGAACTGATACAGTCTCGTTATCTCGAAACCATTCTGGACTATTAGCATACATCAATGCATAGTTGGATTGTTTATCAATTACTATATTCATTTTAGGACTTGAGCTATTTTGATTAGACACGAGTGCAGTACAAGTAGAAATTTTTGATTTGTTTCGAATAGGATTCTCGTATATGTTAATTTCAGAATCAATGACACGATTCACGATTGCATTAGTAATTTTTATACCTCTATTACTAGAACACATTTTAGCTTGTAAGTTTGGTAGGGTTAAATTATTTTTTATAAATGATTTCTTTTCTGATACAATTGTTTGAAATGGAGAAAGCGTTAACCGTATTTTGCTTAAAGTAAAATCATTTTCATCAAAATTAAAATTAGAAGTTAATGGGGTTTGAGGTTCTTGAATATTTTTCTGTATCTCTACCTCCACGTGTGACAATATCTGTTTTTCCAAAAATATTCTAAATGTATGTTTACTTAACTCAGCATTTCTCAAATTCGTTCTATAACTTTTTTTGTGCAAAACGTCATTGACATCTGTTATCATTTTGGATGAGTGTGGTCTATAAAAAAAATTGGTAGTATCATGATGTTGATATAAAGAAGAAAATGAAGAAGAATGATTAATAGAAAAATCAAATGTACTTATATCTTTGATATTAACGTTAAATGAATTCCGTTCAGTTGAGATACAGCATTCATTTGAAAGATGGTTTGAATCATTGAAGGTTTCTAATAAATTTTCTACCTCCAATTGTCACTTGCATCCAAAAAATGTTTGATCACTTTGTCTGCGATGTTGATATGTCAATGGCACAACTAGTCGGCTATCTTTACTTTTGTAGTATTCATTAAAATCTAATCGTACACTAAGTAATTGCAAAGACACGTCTTCAGCTGAAGCAAGCATTAATAAAAATTTTTTCACACGATCCTGAAAAAAAATATACATCTTTAAAATCATATATTGTTTTCTTATGAAGACAGATAGATATATATATATTAAAAGAAGCAATTGCTTTTTATTTTATAATTAGGAATAATAATATATAAATTATTGCTCTCTATTACAATAAAAGAATCATATAGATAAAAATGTAGTAGTAAATGATGATAAATACGAAACCAGAATATACTATTCCACTTTATCATTACCTGATAGGTTCTCGAAAGTAGTCTCAATTGTATTGAAAGTGTATTCAGATATTTTGCAAATGCTTTCTCTCTTTCTTCAATTTCTTGATCTTTTTTATTTGTACGATTCCATTTTTTTGTTTCATATTCAAAATTATTATCATTTAATCTTGCCTCATATTCCTGAGTAGCACGAGCAAGAAAAGTTTCCTCAAGATTCTGAAGATCTAGTATTGGACTGTAAACTGAACGTAAATGATCCATAAGTTCCTGTAACACCAAGAGTAGTATAAAAATATGCATTCGTGTACACACGTACGCACACACAGATGCATACAAACAAACACACACATATATAATATCATATAATATGGTATTATCTAATAATATATAATATTATCTAATACTTACTTGCGATTTTTCATCTAACAATGTACCATGTCTTACAGACTCAACAAAATGACTATGAGCTGCAATTATATCATCAAGGGATGACGCCTGAAGAAGTTGCTTCGCAAATGTATCCCAAGAACATTCGATTACCTTCAATTAATGTAAATTTTCCGTTTGTTAATGTGCAATATACAACACCGTTTCCACCATTAAATTATCCACTATTAAATTAATAATCTAAGATTATTCACGATAGCTTAATGTAACGTCAAAGTACCTCAAATAAAAAATAATATTGCATTTGATGAACTAAATGGACCATGCTACTGGTAATTAAATGTATATGATTCTGGATAGGTAATACTTCCGGCATTTTTCTAAACATTTTTGCTGATGTTGTCTGTTGCTTCCAAATAGCAGATAAAATTGACTCCATTCTCTTGGCCTTCCACAAGGCAAAGAAGACCATTTGATATGTTTGTCTGCATGGTTCCAAAATCTAACAAATTATTGATTATGATTCCTCAAGTATTTAATATGCAGATTAAATATTACAATTAATATGTTGTAAGAATATATATTTTACCGTTCCTATAGGTCCATCAACATTATAATCTAAAATAAAAACGTCCCATCCTATTTCATTTTCTGAAGGTGCTAATAATCTGAAGTCTAAACGTTTTTGCACATGTAAATCATTTAACTTTGTACTAGTTGCCCTTATTGCAATTTCAAGTATAGATGCTACATTATGACCATATAAAGAACTTGATGGTTTAGTCAATTCAGGCCTGAAATGTATAATTGAAATAATTTTTTATATTAAAAAAAATATATATTGTATATATGTTACAATACAGAAATATATCATTATTTTCTATCTCTGCATATATTATTAATATAATCAGGGAATGGAAAGTTACTTTTTAAAAATAACTAGTTACAGTTACTCGTTACCGAGTAAAAAATGTAACTAGTTACAGTTACAGTTATCGCTTTTTAAAAGTAACTCGTTACAGTTACCGTTACTTGAAAAATAACTTTTCGTTACTTTTC